TCCTGGTTTGGGATCTTCACCCACGTTTGGGATCTCCATCCTGGTTTGGGATCTCCATCCTGGTCTGGGATCTTCATCCTGGTTTGGGATCTCCATCCTGGTTTGGGATCTCCATCCTGGTTTGGGATCTCCATCCTGGTTTGGGATCTCCATCCTCATTTGGGATCTTCTCCTCCCCTCAGGACCATCCTGGTCTGGGATCTTCACCCAAATTTTGGGACCATCCTGGTTTGGGATCTCCATCCTGGTTTGGGATCTTCACCCACATTTGGGATCTCCATCCTGGTTTGGGATCTCCATCCTGGTTTGGGATCTCCATCCTGGTTTGGGATCTCCATCCTGGTTTGGGATCTCCATCCTGGTTTGGGATCTCCATCCTGGTCTGGGATCTCCATCCTGGTTTGGGATCTCCATCCTGGTCTGGGATCTCCATCCTGGTTTGGGATCTCCATCCTGGTCTGGGATCTCCATCCTGGTCTGGGATCTCCATCCTGGTTTGGGACCTTCACCTTCCCTTGGGACCATCCTGGTGCCCACCCAGGAGTGATGGTGACGGTGATGGTGACAGTGACAGTGACAGATGACAGGTGACAGAGGACAGTGACAGTGACAGTGACAGGGTGGTGGCACTCACGATGTCCCTCAGACCCACCAGACGATGTCCCCAAACCCCAAAAGAACGAAAAGGAACCGAGACCCACCAGACTTGGGGCCAGAGACAGATGACAAAGGACAGATGACAGAGGACAGATGACAGAGGACAGGTGACAGGTGACAAGGTGACAAGTTGGTGTCACTCACGAGGCCATCGGAGCCACCAGACGATGTCCCCAAACCCCAAAAGAACGAAAAGGAACCGAGACCCACCAGACTTGGGGACAGAGACAGAGGACAAAGAACAGATGACAGTGACAGGTGACAGTGACAGGTGACAGGGCGGTGGCACTCACAATGTCCCTCAGACCCACCAGACGTGAGGACAGTGACAGGGTGGTGGCACTCACGATGTCCCCAAACCCCGAAAGAACAAAAAGGAGCCGAGACCCACCAGATTTGATGCCAAAGACAGAGGACAAAGGACAGATGACAGAGGACAGAGGACAGGTGACAGGTGACAAGGACAGGTGACAATGACAAGGTGACAATGTGGTGGCACTCATGATGTCCCTCAGACCCACCAGACGATGTCCCCAAACCCCAAAAGAACGAAAAGGAGCCAAGACCCACCAGACTTGGGGACAGAGACAGGGGACAAAGGACAAAGGACAGATGACAGTGACAGGTGACAGTGACAGGTGACAGTGACAAGTTGGTGGCACTCACGATGTCCCCCAGACCCACCAGACGATGTCCCCAAACCCCAAAAGAACGAAAAGGAACCGAGACCCACCAGACTTGGGGACAGAGACAGAGGACAAAGGACAGAGGACAGGTGACAGGTGACAGGTGACAGTGACAGTGACAGGTGACAGGTGACAGTGACAAGGTGACAAGTTGGTGTCACTCACGAGGCCATCGAAGCCACCAGACGATGTCCCCAAACCCCAAAAGAACAAAAAGGAGCCGAGACCCACCAGACTTGGGGACAGAGACAGAGGACAGGGGACAGGTGACAGTGACAGGGTGGTGGCACTTACGATGTCCCTTAGACCCACCAGATGTGAGGACAGGGACAGGGACAGGTGACAGGGATGGGGACAGGGACACAGGGACAGGGACAGGGATGGGGACAGGGACACAGGGACAGGGACAGGGACAGGGACATGGGGACAGGGATGGGGACAGGGACAGGGACACAGGGACAGGGACAGGGACAGGGATGGGGACAGGGACAGGGACAGGGACAGGGACAGGGACAGGGACAGGGACACGGGGACAGGGATGGGGACAGGGACAGGGACAGGGACAGGGACAGGGACAGGGATGGGGACAGGGATGGGGACAGGGACAGGGACAGGGACAGGGACAGGGACAGGGATGGGGACACGGGGACAGGGACAGGGATGGGGACACGGGGACAGGGACAGGGATGGGGACAGGGACAGGGACAGGGACAGGGACACAGGGACAGGGACAGGGACAGGGACAGGGACAGGGACAGGGACAGGGACAGGGATGGGGACACGGGGACAGGGACAGGGATGGGGACACGGGGACAGGGACAGGGACGGGGACAGGGACAGGGACAGGGACAGGGACAGGGACAGGGACAGGGACAGGGACAGGGACAGGGACACAGGGACAGGGACAGGGACAGGGACACAGGGACAGGGACACAGGGACAGGGACAGGGACACGGGGACAGGGACAGGCCCAGGTGACAGGGACAGGGACAGGGATGGGGACAGGTGACAGGTGACAGGGACAGTGACAGGTGGTGGCACTCACGATGTCCCCAAACCCCAAAAGAACAAAAAGGAGCCGAGACCCACCAGACGTGGGGACAGAGGACAGGTGACAGAGGACAGGTGACAGATGACAGATGACAGTGACAGTGACAGGTGACAGATGACAACTGACAGGTGACAAGGACAGGGTGGTGGCACTCATGATGTCCCCAAACCCCAAAAGAACAAAAAGGAGCCGAGACCCACCAGACTTGGGGACAAAGATAGAGGACAAAGGACAGATGACAGGTGACAGTGACAGGTGACAGGGACAGGGTGGTGGCACTCAGGATGTCCCTCAGACCCACCAGACATGAGGACAGGGTGGTGGCACTCACGATGTCCCCAAACCCCAAAAGAACAAAAAGGAGCGGAGACCCACCAGACTTGGGGACAAAGACAGGGGACAGGGGACAGATGACAGAGGACAGGTGACAGAGGACAGGTGACAGTGACAGGTGACAGTGACAGGGCGGTGGCACTCACGATGTCCCTCAGACCCACCAGACGATGTCCCCAAACCCCAAAAGAACGAAAAGGAGCCGAGACCCACCAGACTTGGGGACAGGAACAGGTGACAGAGGACAGGTGACAGGTGACAGTGACAGGTGACAGTGACAGGTGACAGTGACAGGGTGGTGGCACTCACGATGTCCCTCAGACCCACCAAACGATGTCCCCAAACCCCAAAAGAACAAAAAGGAGCCGAGACCCACCAGACTTGGGGACAGAGACAGAGGACAAAGGACAGATGACAGAGGACAAGTGACAAATGACACGCCCAGGTGACAGGTGACAGTGACAGTTTGGTGTCACTCACGAGGCCATCGAAGCCACCAGACGATGTCCCCAAACCCCAAAAGAACGAAAAGGAGCCAAGACCCACCAGACTTGGGGACAAAGACAGATGACAAAGGACAGATGACAGATGACAGGTGACAGGTGACAGCCCCAGATGGCAGATGACAGGTGACAAGGACAGGGTGGTGTCACTCACGATGTCCCTCAGACCCACCAGACGATGTCCCCAAACCCCAAAAGAACGAAAAGGAACCAAAACCGCCCGATTGGATGACAAAGACAGAGGACAAAGGACAGATGACAGGTGACAGGGACAGGTGACAGTGACAGGGACAGGGTGGTGGCACTCAGGATGTCCCTCAGACCCACCAAACGTGGGGACAGAGACAGGGGACAGGGTGGTGGCACTCACAATGTCCCCAAACCCCAAAAGAACAAAAAGGAGCCGAAACCCACCAGACCTGGGGACAGATGACAGATGACAGAGGACAAAGGACAGATGACAGGTGACAGGTGACAGTGACAGGTTGGTGGCACTCATGATGTCCCTCAGACCCACCAGATGTGAGGACATGGACAGGGTGGTGGCACTCAGGATGTCCCCAAACCCCAAAAGAACGAAAAGGAGCCGAGACCCACCAGACTTGGGGACAGAGACAGAAGACAGAGGACAAAGGACAGATGACAGAGGACAGGTGACAGAGACAGGTGACAGTGACAGGTGACAGTGACAGGGTGGTGGCACTCACGATGTCCCCAAACCCCAAAAGAACGAAAAGAAACCCCAAAGAACGAAAAGGAACCGAGACCCACCAGACTTGGGGACGGGGGACAAGGACAGATGACAGAGGACAGGTGACAAGGGACAGGTGACGGTGACAGGTGACAATGACAGTGACAAGTTGGTGTCACTCACGAGGCCATCGAAGCCACCAGACGATGTCCCCAAACCCCAAAAGAACGAAAAGAAACCCCAAAAGAACGAAAAGGAGCCGAGACCCACCAGACTTGGGGAAAAAGATAGATGATAGGTGACAGATGACAAAGGACAAGTGACAGGTGACAGATGACAGGTGACAGGTGACAGTGACAGGGTGGTGGCACTCACAATGTCCCCAAACCTTAAAAGAACGAAAAGAAACCCCAAAAGAACAAAAAGGAACCGAGACCCACCAGACTTGGGGACAGGGACAGATGACAGATGACAGGTGACAGATGACACGCCCAGGTGACAATGACAAGGTGACAAGTTGGTGTCACTCACGAGGCCATCGAAGCCACCAGACGATGTCCCCAAACCCCAAAAGAACGAAAAGGAACCGAGACCCACCAGACTTGGGGACAAAGACAGAGGACAAAGGACAGATGACAGATGACAGGTGACAGTGACAGGTGACAGGTGACAGTGACAAGGTGACAAGTTGGTGTCACTCACGAGGCCATCGAAGCCACCAGACGATGTCCCCAAACCCCAAAAGAATGAAAAGGAGCCGAGACCCACCAAAGGTGGGGACAGAGACAGGTGAGAAGGGACAGATGACAAAGGACAGTGGACAGATGACAGAGGACAGGTGACACGCCCAGGTGACAGGTGACAAGGTGACAAGTTGGTGTCACTCACGAGGCCATCGAAGCCACCAGACGATGTCCCCAAACCCCAAAAGAACAAAAAGGAACCAAAACCGCCAGATTTGATGCCAAAGACAGAGGACAAAGGACAGAGGACAAAGGACAGATGACAGAGGACACGCCCAGGTGACAGGTGACAGATGACAGGTGACAGTGACAAGGTGACAAGTTGGTGTCACTCACGAGGCCATCGAAGCCGCCGCCCTCCAGGCGCCGCTCGCAGCTCAGACACTCCCCCCGGCAGTCGCCGCGGGCGCGGGCGCAGAGCCACAGCAGCAGCAGCTCCCAGAGCACCGACCGCATGGTGACACCGCCACCGCTGCGGGGACACGATGGCACACGCGTCACACGGGTCACACGTGTCACAGATTACATACATCCCAAAAATCCCGGGAAAGGGGAAAAAAACCCCGTGAAAAGTGAGAAAATGGTGAAAAAAGGAAAGGAAATAAGGTAAAATCACGTCAAATATCATTAAAACACAGTGGAAGTATGAGAAAATCTAAAAAAATCCCATAAAATCCCATAAAATCCCATAAATTCCAACTAAATCCCAATAAAACCCCATGAAATTCTGAGAAAATCTAAAAAAAAAACCACAGAAAAAATCCCATAAAACCCAATAAAACCCCACAAAATCCTGTGAAATCCCAATAAAACCCCACAAGAACCTAAGAAATCCGAAGAAATCCCATAAAATCCCATGAAATCCCAATAAAATGCAGCGAAAACCTGAAAAATCCCCAAAAATCCCATAAAATCCCATGAAATCCCATGAAATCCCAACAAAACCCCACAAATTCCCACTAAATTCCAATAAAACCCCACAAAATTCCAACAAAATCCACAAAATCCCCAAAAAACCCCATGAAATCCTAAAAAAACCCTGTGGAAATCTAAAAAAATCCAAAAAAACCCCATAAAATCCCATAAAATCACCTCAGATCCCAATAAAACCCCATGAAATTCTGAGGAAATCTAAAAAAAAAAAAAAAACCCCATAAAATCCCATAAATTCCCCTGAAATCCCAATAAAACCCCATAAAATCCTGTGAAATCCCAATAAAACCCAGCGAAAACTTAAAAAATCCAAAAAAATCCCATAAAATCCCATGAGATCCCAAGAAAACTCAGCAAAAATCAAAAAAATCAAAATAAATCCCAAAAAATCCCATGAAATCCCAACTGAGCCCCACAAAATCCTGTGAAATAGCAAAAAAAAACTCACAAAAACTTAAAAAATCAAAAAAAATCCCATAAAATCCCACTAAATTGCAATAAACCCCCACAAAATCCCATGAAAGGCTAAAAAAACCCCACAGAAATTGAAAAAAAGGTAAAAAAAGGACAGAAAATAACGTAAAACTGCGTTAAAAATCAATGAAACAGCGTGGAATTATGAGAAAAGGGTAAAAAAATCAAAAAAACCCATAAAATCCCATAAATTCTCACTAAATCCCAATAAAACCCCACAAAATCCCAATAAAACCCCACAAAATCCCAATAAAACCCAACAAAATCCTGCAAAATCCCAATAAAACCCGGCGAAAACTGAAAAAATCCCAAAAAATCCCATAAAATCCCATGAAATCCCATGAAATCCTAATAAAACCCCACAAAATCCTGTGAAATCCCAATAAAACCCAGTGAAAACCTGAAAAAATCCCCAAAAATCCCATGAAATCCCATGAAATCCCAATAAAACCCCACAAAATCCTGTGAAATCCCAATAAAACCCAGCGAAAACCTGAAAAATCCCCCAAAATTCCATAAAATCCCATGAAATCCCAATAAAACCCCATAAAATCCCATGAAATCTCAATAAAACCCAGTGAAAACTTAAAAAAACCCATAAAATCCCATGAAATCCCAATAAACCCCCACAAAATCCCACAAAATCCCAATAAAACCCAGCGAAAATGGAAAAAAAAAAAATCCCATGAAATCCCAATTGAGCCCCACAAAATCCCACAAAATACTGTCAAATCGCAAAAAAACCAGTCAAAATCTAAAAAAATGCAAAAAAATCCCATAAAATCCCATGAAATCCCAATAAACTCCCACAAAATCCTGTGAAATCCCAATAAAATCCTATGAAATCCCGATAAAACCCCATAAAATCCCATGAAATCCCAATAAAACCCGGCGAAAAGTTAAAAAATCCAAAGAAATCCCATAAAATCCCATGAAACCACCTCAAATCCCAATGAAACCCCATAAAATTCTGAGGAAAGGTAAAAAAATCCAAAAAACCCCATAAAATCCCATAAAATCACCTCAAATCCCAATAAAACCACATGAAATTCTGAGAAAACCGAAAAAAAATCCAAAAAAGCACAAAAAATCCCATAAAACCACATCAGATCCCAATAAAACCCCGTGAAATTCTGAGAAAATCTAAAAAAATAATTAAAAAACACAGAAAATCCCATAAAATCCCATGAAATTCCAATAAATCCCCACAAAATCCCAAAACAAACCCGTGAAATGCTGTGAAAGCCTAAACAAAGTGCCAAAAATCCCACAAAGTGAAAAAAACCAGTACAAACCTAAAAAATCCCATGAAATCCCAATAAACCCCCACAAAATCCTGTGAAATCACAAAAAAACCCAGCGAAAACTTAAAAAATCCAAAGAAATCCCATAAAATCCCATGAAATTCCAATAAAACCCAGTGAAAACTTAAAAAATCCCAAAAAAATCCCATAAAATCCCATGAAATCCCAATAAAACCCAATAAAAACTTAAAAAATCCAAAGAAATCCCATAAAATCCCACTAAATCCCAATAAAACCCCATAAAATCCTGCAAAATCCCAATAAAACCCAGTGAAAATTTAAAAAAATCCAAAGAAATCCCATAAAATCCCAATAGAGCCCCACTAAATCCCACAAAATCCCAATAAAACCTGGCGAAAACCTAAAAAATCCCAAAAAATCCCATAAAATCCCAATAAACCCCCACAAAATCCTGTGAAATCGGAAAAAAACCCACAAAAACCTAAAAAATCCAAAGAAATCCCATAAAATCCCACAACATCCTGTGAAATCACAAAAAACCCCACAAAAACCTAAAAAATAAAAAAAATCCCATGAAATCCCAATAAAACCCCACAAAATCCCAATAAAACCTGGCGAAAACCCAAAAAATCCAAATAAATCCCATAAAATCCCAATAGAGCCCCACAAAATCCTGTGAAATCGCAAAAAACCCGTGAAAATCTAAAAAAATCCAAAAAAATCCCAGAAAATCCTGTAAAACTGCCTCAAATCCCAATAAAACCCCATAAAATTCTGAGAAAAGGTGAAAAAATCCTGTGAAAACGTAAAAAATCCCATAAAATCCCAATAAAACCCCATAAAATCCTGTGAAATCACAAAAAAACCCGGCAAAAAGTTAAAAAATCCAAAGAAATCCCACAAAATCCCACAAAATTCCAATAAAACTCCAATAAAACCCCAAAAAATCCTGCAAAAATCTAAAAAATCTCACGAAACCACCCCAAATCCAAAAAAACCCCACAAAATCCTATGGAAACCCAATAAAACCAAGAGAAAATCGAAAAAAATGCAAAGAAATCCCATAAAATCCCATAAAATCCCAATAAAGCCCCACAAAATCCTGTGAAATCCCAATAAAACCCGGCAAAAACCTTAAAAATCAAAAAAAAAATGCAAAGAAATCCCATAAAATCCCATGAAATCCCAATAAAACCCCACAAAATCCTGAGAAATCCCAATAAAACCCAGCGAAAACTTAAAAAATCCCAACAAATCCCATGAAATCCCATGAAATCCCGATAAAACCCCATAAAATCCCATGAAATCCCAATAAAACCCAGCGAAAACTTAAAAAATCTGAAAAAATCCCATAAAATCCCATGAAATCCCAATAGGGCACCACAAAATCCCACAAAATCCAAAAGATCCCCAAAAAATCCTGTGAAATCACAAAAAACTCCACAAAAAACCCCATAAAAACATAAACAATCCCAAAAACCCCATAAAATCCCACAAAATTCCAATAAAACTCCAATAAAACCCAAAAAAAATCCTGCAAAATCTAAAAAATCCCATGAAACCAATCCAAATCCCAAAAAACCCCAAAAAATCCTGCAAAATTCCAATAAAACCATGAGAAAATTGAAAAAATCCCAAAAAATCCCATGAAATCCCATGAAATCCCAATAAAACCCCACAGAATCCCAAAAAAACAGCAAAAATGTAAAAAATCCCATAAAATCCCATAAAAACCCCATTAAATCCTGCGAAACCTAAAAATTCCCAAAAAAACCCCATAAAGTCCTGCAAAATCCCAAAAAATCCTTCAAAAACCTAAAAAAATCCCAAAAAATCCCATAAAATAAAAAACCCCACAAAATCCTAATAAAACTCTGTGAAAACCTAAAAAATCAAAAAAATCCCATAAAATCCATGAAATCCCAAAAAATCCCACAAAATCCCATAAAATCCCCCCAAAATCCTGCAAAAACCTAAAAAATCAAAAAAATCCCTTAAAATCCCAATAAAACCCCACAAAATCCCAATAAAATTCCAATAAAACCCCCGAAACCCTGTGAAAAACCAAAAAAATCCACAAAAATCCCAAAAAATTCCATAAAACCCCACTAAGTCCTGCAAAATCCCCCAAAAAAACCCCAAAACCTAAAAAATCCCATAAAATCCCAAAAGATCCCAATAAAACCCCACAAAATCCTGAGAAAAATCAAAAAAAATCCACAATAATCCCAAAAATCCCATAAAATCGTGGGAAATCCCGTAAAAATCCCAGAAAATTCCATAAAATCCCAAAAAATCCCACTAAAACCGGGAAAATCCTGGGAAATCCCAAAAATCCCACAAAACCCCAATAAAACTCTGTGAAAACCTAAAAAAATCAAAAAAATTCCCATAAAATCCACGAAATCCCAAAAAATCCCACGAAATCCCGTAAAATCAAAAAAAAATCCTGCAAAAACCTAAAAAATAAAAAAAATCCCATAAAATCCCAATAAACCCCCACAAAATCCCAATAAAATTCCAATAAAAGCCCCAAAACCCTGTGCAAAACCAAAAAAATCAGCAAAAATCCCAAAAAATTCCATAAAACCCCACAAAGTCCCGCAAAATCCCAAAAAAAACCCAAAACCCTAAAAAATCCCAAAAAATCCCAATAAAACCCCACAAAATCCTGAGAAAAATCAAAAAAAATCCACAATAATCCCAAAAAATCCCATAAAATCGTGTGAAATCCCGTAAAAATCCCAGAAAATTCCATGAAATCCCAAAAAATCCCACTAAAACCGGGAAAATCCTGGGAAACCCCATAAATCCCACAAAAATCCC